ATCAATGCACCCAGACAGGAGCTGCTTTCTATCCCCAACGTGTTCAAGAAGCTTCTCCTCCTCTCTGCATCCCCTTCCAGCCACAGCAAACGCTCAGGTCAGTGAAACCCTTCCTGTTTTCCATGTGGTACCCAACTTCCTCTGGTTAATTCTGATTGAACTTTGTCACTTTGACATCTGTGGAGCGCTGCAACATCCATCCTCTGTCCTGCCTCTCACAAACCTTGATGGAGGCTTCAGAGACCACAAAGGTCCTGCTTTGTTAATGAAGGATGCTGTTAATGAAGGATGGGGAAGAATCTACTTGTGGTTTGTCCCAACCGTATGCAAGGATGTGATTGCCTGAGGACTGGAAAATCATTGTCATTTCTATGCAGTAAAGATGCTTTGAAGCTACAGGTGTAGCAGGAGGATGTTTGATGTGTGGAACAGCACAGGAGCATCGCGGGTCAGTGATGGACACCCTATTTCCCATTACTGATTTGTGTTGGAAGGATGCTTAAAGCTCCTTCAGCTCCAACCCCTGCCACGGGCAGGGACCCCTTCCACTAGAGCAGCTTGCTCCAAGCCCCTGTGTCCAACCTGGCCTTGAACACTGCCAGGGATGGGGCAGCCACAGCTTCTCTGGGCACCCTGTTATTCCCTGATGCGAGAAGCAGTTGGGAAGGACACAAGCAGCGAAGCTCCAGGGCTGAGCCCTTTCCCGACCCCTTTGCTGTTGTCTCGGAAGAGCTGGGAGATGGATTTGAGGCTGCTGCCCCGCTCCCCGCCCCGTGGCAGGCCTTTGGGGCTCTCCTGCATCAGCCCAGGCGAGCAGGGCTGGAGGTAGCAGGCAGCTAACACTGCCGATGGATGCTGCAGCACCCGCATCGCCCGCCTCGCATGTCGTTAGGACATCAGCGCTAATGAAGGGGGCTCCTCTGGGGCCCTGGGAGGAGCAGGGACGTGGCAGAGCAAATCCGGTGCTGGGGACACAGAGCAGGGACCCTGTGGCTGATACGGGGGCGATTTGGGGCACCACTTCCCATAGCATCACTTAGGAGCTGGGGGTGGGTTGGTGGGGGGGAGCCTGCATCACCCCGGGTACCACTGAGCATCACTGCGCGGCGAGGCTGCTGCTTAAACCCCATCACTCTGGGATCACTGATCCCATGTCTCACCCAACAGCCCCCTATATTTGCATCCCCTAAACCCCTTTGTTACGTTTCCTACGCATTCTATCGCCTCCCCCTTCCCACCCCCTTGATTCCCGTAAGTGATTCCGTGTTGTGGCTGCGGAGCCTCTGCAACTTGGAAATAAACATTTTATTAACCTTCCTTGACTTTAAAGAGCGTAATTACATTTTAATCTCATATTCCCCCGTTATCATTCCAGACACAGAGTCATTTGAATGCAGATCGGTGCCGGCTAATGTAATTTTACGATACAGTAATGAAGAGACGGAGCAGGAGCGTCTCACACCCAATTTAGAGCTGACATTTGGGGTTCTTCTAAAGAGAAGTTTTCCCAGCCGAGGCCTTTTGCATCCTCCTCGGTCCTGCAATGCCAATGGGATTCGGCTCCCGCTGCCAAGGGAAGGGTTTGGCTGGGGAAACGTGGCTGGTGCTGATAAGAGCGGTCATTAAAGATGCCCACGCTGCCCCGTGCGGGTGATTCAGTGTCTCTGGTGGTGGGCACGGGGCAAGTTTGGGAACTCGCTGCTCCTCGGTGCCATAGAGACATGAATCGGGGGCTGTGGTTACCTTCAGCCCTCCTTGGGGAGGGAGGTGGGGGGGGATCAGGCTCATTTTATCCATCTAAAAGACCAGAAGTGCCCCAAAAATAGGACCCTCGCATCCACAGGTGGGCTCATCCCTCCATAGTCACAGGGCAGGAGACAGCACCACCCGCCCCCAACATAGAATCATGGAATCAGAATGGTTTGGGTTGGAGGGGACCTTAAAGCTCATCCAGTTCCACAGGCAGGGACCCCCTCCACTAGAGCAGCTTGCTCCAAGCCCCTGAGTCCAACCTGGCCTTGATCACTGCCAGGGATGGGGCAGCCACAGCTGGGAATCGCTTGGGGTGGCTGGAGCATGGCTTTTCCCCACCCTCATCAGCATCCCGTTTAGGCTGGACCAATGACCCATCCTTGCTCAGCCCCGCTTAGAGCAAAGGAGGTGACAGTGGTACCCTGGGTAGGGTAGGAGGGGCTGCTGCTCTGCTCGAGCATCCCAAAGGAATCCATGGTCCCACTGCAATCAATACTGGCAAAACTGGAAGGCTTTGGACAGCAAAGTGAGCACCGTGCCAGGCACCACAGACATTGGAGGGGGAGGAACCCCAGAGATCGCTTCAGTGCCCAAGGGAAAACTGAGGCACGCAGGGGTAAGGGTCTATTTCCAGCTGTGCTGTGGGGAGACCCCCCCTGCAGTCCTGATCCAGCTCTGGGGCAGCAGCACAAGAGGGACGTGGAGCTGTTGGAGCGAGGCCAGAGGAGGCCATGGAGATGCTGCGAGGGCTGGAGCAGCTCTGCTCTGGAGCCAGGCTGAGAGAGCTGGGCTGGGGCAGCCTGGAGAAGAGAAGGCTCCTGAAGGGGAGACCTGAGAGCAGCTCCAGTGCCTAAAGGGGCTGCAGGAAAGCTGGAGAGGGGCTTGGGACAAGGGATGTAGGGACAGGCCAAGGGGAATGGCTTGAACCTGCCAGAGGGGAGACTGAGATGAGCTCTTAGGCAGAAGCTCTTCCCTGGGAGGGTGCTGAGGCGCTGGCACAGGGTGCCCAGAGAAGCTGTGGCTGCCCCATCCCTGGCAGTGTTCAAGGCCAGGTTGGACACAGGGGCTTGGAGCAAGCTGCTCCAGTGGAAGGGGTCCCTGCCCGTGGCAGGGGTTTGAGCTGGAGGAGCTTTAAGGTCCCTTCCAACCCAAACCATGCTGGGATGCTGTGATTTTTATGGTTCCTCCATTCTCCATCCTTGCCGAAGATGAGTTTAGGGTGGGATGAACGCCCAGAGGCTGGACCACAGCTCCCAGCACCCCCCATTTCCCTCCCCATCCCTCCCGGCACCCCCAATGGAGCCCTCCTGAATCACCATCAGCCGAACCCAGCCTTTTTGGGGCAGGGGAGAGCAGCGGATGCTCATTAAGTGCCTGATTCCCCTTTACATATTAATCACACGCTGCTGAGGTCACTCGTGGAGTTGCTGGAAGGGGCATCTGGGACCAGCAGGAATATTCATGGCTGGATGAGGGGAGGGAATTGTTGCTGTTGTTTCCCCTGTACCGTTTGCATCGGTGACAAGAGTGTGCTGGGTCTCAGCACAGGTAGGACCCGATGGTTGCCCACAGGAGGGTCTGTGCCAGCCCCAAAGGTGCCCTTGCTCCCTCTGCCGCTGGTTTCTTTGCTTTCTTGGATGAAAAGAGGTTGATGATCCATGGGTGGCAACGACGGGTCCCTATGGGCTCAGGCTGCGGCAGGATCCTGCTCTGCACCTCAGTGCTGCGTGCTCCAGCGCTGCAGCTGAGCCCCTTTGGGTCGGAGGGTGCTTTTGTGCACCCCAAAGTCATCCCCTGGCCTGGCCCACCGGTGTGCCCAGCATCCCCTCCTGGACCAGCATCCTTCAAAGCAGCATCTCTCCAAACCAGCATCTTCTAATTGAGCTGCCCACCCTAAACCAGCATCACTCCAAAACCAGTGCACCCCCTCCCCAAATCTGCATCCTTCCCAAAGCAGCATCCCTCCAAAACAACACCCCCCTCTGAGCCAGCATCCTCTGCATGAGCATCTGGCCCCAAACCTGCATCCCACCATCCCCAAGGCAGCATCTTCCAGACCTGCATCCCTCCCAAAGCAACATCTTCCAAACCTGCATCCTTCCAAATCCAGCATCTTCCAGACCTCCATCCCTCCAAATCCAGCATCTGGCCCCAAACCTACATCCCCCCACACCCAAACCAGCACCTTCCAAACTGGCATCTCTCCAAAACCAGCATCTTCCAGACCTGCATCCCTCCAAAACCAGCATCTTCCAGACCTGCATCCCTCCAAAACCAGCATCTTCCAGACCTGCATCCCTCCAAAACCAGCATCTTCCAGACCTGCATCCCTCCAAAACCAGCATCTTCCAGACCTGCATCCCTCCCAAAGCAGCATCTTCTAAACCCACATCTGTCCCTGCCCAGCATCTTCTAAAACTGCATCCCCCCCAAAAATCAGAATCTGGACCCAAACCTTCATCCCCCCCATCCCCAAGCCAGCACCTTCCAAACCTACATCCCTCCAAATCCAGCATCTTCCAGACTGGCATCCCTCCCAGAGCAGCATCTTCCAAACCTACACCTCTTCCAACCCAGCATCTTCCAAACCTGCATCCCTCCAAATCCAGCGTCTTCCAAACCCGCATCCCTCCAAATCCAGCATCTTCCAAATCTGCATCTCTCCAAATCCAGCATCTGGCCCCAAACCTGTATCCCCCCATCCCCAAACCAGCCCCTTCCAAGCCTGCATCCCTCCCAACCTAGCATCTTCCAGACTGGCATCTCTCCTCCAAACCTTCATCCCTCCAAATCCAGCATCCTCCAAACCTGCATCCCTCCCAACCCAGCATCCTCCAAACCTGCATCCCTCCCAACCCAGCATCCTCCAAACCTGCATCCCTCCCAACCCAGCATCCTCCAAACCTGCATCCCTCCCAACCCAGCATCTTCCAAACCTGCATCCCTCCCAACCCAGCATCTTCCAAACCTGCATCCCTCCCAACCCAGCATCTTCCAAACCTTCATCCCTCCCAAGCCAGCATCCTCCAAACCTTCATCCCTCCCAAGCCAGCATCCTCCAAACCTTCATCCCTCCCAACCCAGCATCCTCCAAACCTTCATCCCTCCCAACCCAGCATCCTCCAAACCTTCATCCCTCCCAACCCAGCATCCTCCAAACCTTCATCCCTCCCAACCCAGCATCTTCCCCTCTCTAAACCCACGCCCTCCATTATCCATCCATGTGGTGCCCCTCGGAGCAGCCAGGGCTCAGGGGGTGCTGCTGGGATGCACCCTCCCTGCGCTCAGCTCCAGCACTGAATCATCTCAGTCACAGATTCGCTTGGATGCGATTTGGGGAGGGGAAGAAGAAGAAAAAAAAGCAGCAAAGCAACAAAACAACAACCCAGCCCTTTCCTTCCTCCTCCTCCTCCTCCTCCTCCTCCTCCTCCCCTGGGAAGGGGTGACAGCAGCATAAATAGCAGCCTGCACAGCACAGGGCCAGATGCAAAGCGAGCGGCACCCGTGGCACCATGGCAGAGCCTTCGCTGCCCCTCTCCTTCCTCTGCCTCCTCGCCTTGTCCTCCGCCTGCTACATCCAGAACTGCCCCCGAGGTGGCAAACGGGCGCTGAGCGACACAGCCCTGCGGCAGGTATGGGGTGGGATGGGGGTATGGGATGGGGGTTTGGGCAGCACAGGGAAGCTCTGTGGGATGCTGAGGCTCCTATGGGCACCCCTGGATGTGCTATGCTCCCCAGTGCACCCGCTGTTTGGGAGGGGTGGGGGACATGCCCAAGGGCACGCCAGTGGAGGATGAGCACCCCGAAGTGCTGCTGTCACCTCAAGGTTGGATACAGCAGAGTAGGGGGACAGGATACATCTATAGAGCAGGGACAGGATAGATCCATGGAGAAGGGACAGGATAGATCCATGGAGCAGGGACAGGATAGATCCATGGAGAGGGGACAGGATACATCTATAGAGCAGGGACAGGATAGATCCATGGAGCAGGGACAGGATAGATCCATGGAGCAGGGACAGGATACATCCATGGAGAGGGGACAGGATACATCTATAGAGCAGGGACAGGATAGATCCATGGAGAGGGGACAGGATACATCTATAGAGCAGGGACAGGATAGATCCATGGAGCAGGGACAGGATAGATCCATGGAGCGGGGACAGGATAGATCCATGGAGCAGGGACAGGATACATCCATGGAGCAGGGACAGGATACATCTATAGAGCAGGGACAGGATAGATCCATGGAGAGGGGACAGGATACATCTATAGAGCAGGGACAGGATAGATCCATGGAGCAGGGACAGGATAGATCCATGGAGCGGGGACAGGATAGATCCATGGAGCAGGGACAGGATACATCCATGGAGCAGGGACAGGATACATCCATGGAGCAGGGACAGGATAGATCCATGGAGCAGGGACAGGATAGATCCATAGAGCAGGGACAGGATAGATCCATGGAGCAGGGACAGGATACATCCATGGAGAGGGGACAGGATAGATCCATGGAGAGGGGACAGGATACATCCATGGAGCAGGGACAGGATAGATCCATGGAGCAGGGACAGGATACATCCATGGAGAGGGGACAGGATAGATCCATGGAGAGGGGACAGGATACATCCATGGAGAGGGGACAGGATACATCCATGGAGCAGGGACAGGATAGATCCATGGAGAGGGGACAGGATACATCCATGGAGCAGGGACAGGATACATCCATGGAGCAGGGACAGGATACATCCATGGAGAGGGGACAGGATACATCCATGGAGCAGGGACAGGATAGATCCATGGAGAGGGGACAGGATACATCCATGGAGCAGGGACAGGATACATCCATGGAGCAGGGACAGGATAGATCCATGGAGCAGGGACAGGATACATCCATGGAGCAGGGACAGGATAGATCCATGGAGAGGGGACAGGATAGATCCCTGCCCACGGCAGGAGGGTTGGAACTGGATGACCTTAAGGTCCTTTCCAACCCAAACCATTCTGTGATTCTATGATTCGATGGAGCAGGGACAGGGAGCATGGTGGGGGGCAACGTGAAGTGCCTAAAGAGGGACTGGTGCCGCAGCGTGAAGACGCGCTGCTGGTGATGGGGACAGAACAGGTCACCCTGTGTGAGGGTGGCACCTCCAAGGGCTGGCAAAGCAACAGCAGTGCAAGAAGGGTGGGAAAGATGGGGAATAAGGGCATGGTGGGCCAAGGGGAATGGCTTGAACCTGCCCGAGGGGAGACTGAGATGAGCTCTTAGGCAGAAGCTCTTCCCTGGGAGGGTGCTGAGGCGCTGGCCCAGGGTGCCCAGAGAAGCTGTGGCTGCCCCATCCCTGGCAGTGTTCAAGGCCAGGTTGGACACAGGGGCTTGGAGCAAGCTGCTCTAGTGGAAGGGGTCCCTGCCCGTGGCAGGGGTTGGGGCTGGGTGGGATTTCAGCTCCCTTCCAACCCAAACCGTGCCGCGATTCGGTGCTGATGGAAGCATCTCCCCCCCTTCCCCAGTGCCTGCCCTGCGGCCCCGGCAACAGAGGCACCTGCTTCGGGCCCGGCATCTGCTGCGCCTCGGAGCTCGGCTGTTACCTGGGCACGGCCGAGACGCGGCGCTGCGCTGAGGAGGATTCGGTGCCCTCCCCGTGCCGGGCGGGCGGGCAGCCCTGCGGCAACGGCGGCCGCTGCGCAGCGCCCGGCATCTGCTGCAGCCCCGGTGAGGAGGGATGAGGGCAACGGGCAGCGGGAGGGAGGCGTTGGGACCACGGGAAGGAAGTTGCGCATCGGGAGGGTGCTGAGGCGCTGGTGCCCAGAGAAGCTGTGGCTGCCCCATCCCTGGCAGTGCTCAAGGCCAGGTTGGAGGGGGGCTTGGAGCAAGCTGCTCCAGTGGAAGGGGTCCCTGCGCGTTGAACTGGACGAGCTTTAAAGCTCCCTTTCAACCCAAACCATTGTATATGGCTCAAAGCTCCTTCCCGAGCCACCACAACGGGATGTTTCCCATCCAGGGTATTCTCACTCCTCATTGTGCTGGAAATACCTCTCCCAGCCCCACTCCCTGGTTAACAAAGGGACTAAAACCAGAGCATGAGCATCTGTGGGGCCACCACCAACCCCTTGCCCACCCGAAACGAACCATTCGTGGTCCTAAACAACAACCCCAATAACCTGTCCCTGGTGCATTGCTTTCCATTGAAGAGACCTGCTCCATGGACACCTCCTGCCTGGACGAGAGCAGCGATGGGGCTCAGGAGGCAGCAGAGAAGAACCTGACGGTGCTGGACGGCTCGGCTGGAGACCTGCTCCTCAAGCTCATGCACTTGGCGACCCGGCAGCAGCAGGGCAAGCATCCCTCCCTCTGAGCCTCGGGTACCCCCCACCCCGGCCAGCACCGACACCCGGAGCCCAGCCTTGTAAATACCTGACCCAATAAAAGCCCTTGTGCACTGTGCTGGTTTCGTCCTGGGTGCTGGGGATGGGTCATGGGGGGGCTCCAGAGGGCACAGAGAGGGTGTAGGGATGGATGTGGGGCAGCACGGGAGGTGGATGGGTCTCCCCTGTCGCCCTTCCCATGTCCCCATCTATCCCCATGCTGTTCGCTCCCATCCGCAGTGGTTTTGGCAGGATTTGTCCCTGTTCTTACAGTGCTGAGGGCAAGGATCTCGGGCAGAGCCGCCCTTCGAGTCCCACCCAATAGCCCCAGCAACACCCATGGGTGCTGAGCTCCCAGCATCCCCAGGGATGGGGACAGTGATGGGATGCGCCACCATCCTGTTACCTCTGGCCAAGACCCCTCCTTGGGGCAGATTTGGGGCTTCGTTGCCTCCAGGAACCAGCACAATGAGCTGCTTCAAGCACGTCTCCTAAAAATGAGAGAAAACAAGGAAAACCACCCAAAAAACCCTAAAATCAGGGGGATTTGGGCTCCCAAATTCACACAGCCCCTGGGGCTGGTGGTATCTTCCCCCATCAGCATCATCATCATCATCATCCCCAAATGGGTGATGGTGGATCAGCCCTGGTTATCCCACCCTCACCCCCTATTTGGGATACCATTATCCCAACTCTCTTCCCCTATTTGGGACACCATTATCCCACCCTCTCCCTCTATTTGGGATACCGTTATCCCACCCTCTCCCCCTATTTGGGATACCATTATCCCAACCCTCTCCCTCTATTTGGGATATCGTTATCCCAACCCTCTCTCCCTGTCCAGGATACTGTTATCCCAACTCTCTCTCCTTATTTGGGATACCATTATCCCAACATCTCCCTCATTTGGGATACCGTTATCCCAACCTCTCTCCCCCTATTTGGGATACCATTATCCCAACCCTCTCTCCCTATCCAGGATACTGTTATCCCAACTCTCTCCCCCTATTTGGGATACCATTATCCCACCCTCTCTCCCTATTTGGGATACCATTATCCCAACCTCTCCCCCTATTTGGGATATCATTATCCCAACTTCCCCTATTTGGGATACCGTTATCCCAACTCTCTCCCCCTATTTGGGATACCATTATCCCACCCTCTCTCCCTATTTGGGATACCATTATCCCAACCCTCTCCCCCTATTTGGGATACCATTATCCCAACCTCTCCCCCTATTTGGGATACCATTATCCCAACATCTCCCCTATTTGGGATACCGTTATCCCAACTCTCTCTCCCTATTCGGGACACCATTATCCCACCCTCTCCCCCTATTTGGGATATCATTATCCCAACTTCTCCCCCTATTCGGGATACCGTTATCCCACCCTCTCCCCCTATTCGGGATACCATTACCCCACCCTCTCTCCCTATTTGGGACACTGTTATCCCAACCCTCTCTGCTCCCCTGGTCTCTTACCCTGCGGGGTCCCTGCTCCAGGCTCTCTCTGGGCTGGGATCTGGGGACAGCTCATCCTTTATAATGTCCCTGCGGGAGGTGGCACCTTCAGGAGGTGGAGCTCCGCTATTCCAGCGGGTCCCATCCGGCACCTCACAAGGGCGCAGGATTGACCCAGCACCTGCTCCCAGCAATGAGCATCTAATCCCAGCCCTTTGGAGGTGGGGGGGACCCAAAATCACCCCCAAAACCATTGGGAAAGGGGCAACAGCAGCCTGGATGGACGATTCCGAGCTGGGAACACACGGGATGAAGGAATCGGGCTGTTCATCTCACTGCTGCACCCCGGGATGCAGGATGTGAACCCCAACATCACCTGAAGCATCAGGGATGTGTGGCTGAGCCGGGATGCGGGATGCTGATGGGAGCTTGGGCATCAACATCCCCAAAAGCACCAGGAGCTGATAACTGAAGGGGTTTTCCACACAGGACACATCCCAATCCTGCCCATGGGGGTCAGGGTACCCCAAGACCCATCTGGGCTGCTCCAGGAGGGTGTTTCCCCCCAATAATCCCTGGGTTGAGCCGCTGGGATGCTACAGCACTGGTGCTGAGCCTCATTTGCATCCCATTATCATGGGCACCGGTGGCTGGCTCGTCCCCAGGGCCCTGCTGCCTGACCCTGGCTGTGTGAGCAGGACCTGGGTGCCCTCAGTGCCCACAGTAAGTGGCCCAATTCAAAGCAAGCCGGAGGGGATGAGGAGAGGTCACGGCTTTCCAGCTCTGGGCTGCCTAAATCCCAATTAAGGAGGTGGAAGAAGGGACTGGGATAATGGCCTCGGCATTAGGGCCTGTCCACAGCAGAGGAATTGGTTCAGCTCTTAATTGCGGTAACGAAGGCAAAGGGTTGGGGTGAGCAGGAGCCCGTGTGGCTGCATCCTCAGTGCTGTTTCTGCAGGGAGCCGGTGGTGACGTGGGCCAGGGCATCACGTCCGAGCTCCAGCGCAGGAGCCAACAGGGAAATGTGGGGGTTCAGGTCTTTGCCAATGGGGTTTGGTGTTTCCAGGCTCCCTCAATGCAGTCAGGGGGGGATCGTGGTCACCATCATCCCGAAGCAGACTGAACCCGGCATTGAGCATCCCCCACCACAGGCAGAGATGGGTGGGAAGGACCCATTGTTTCCCATCCCAGCTCCCATGATGATCCCAGTGGAGGACTGGGGCTCGTTTTCCTCCCACCAGAAGGGATTTTGAAGCCAAGGGAAGCACGATGCCCCTCTCACCCCTCTCCTCCATCCTGTTGCCTTCCTCCATCCCATCCCAAACCCCACCAGAACGATCCCGATCAGAACACGGAGCAACCAGCTCCGTGCCTTGAGGGACTGGCAGAGAAGGGCCCCAAACTGATCCACAACCCCTGCACGTTTCCCTCCCCGTCACGGTCAGCCCCAGTCACCAAGGAGCAAACCAACACCTTGGCCTTGCCCTCACGTCCTCGACCTCCGGCTATTAGCAAGAGCCCTTGGTGTGGGAAGCAATTCCTTGTGGTTCTTAAGGCAGACGGGTGACGCTGGCGCCGGAATGTGTAAGCAGGAGCTGGCACTATATATCCAGGGCTGCTTTTCCAGAGGGGGAAGCTGGGAAGCCTCCCAACCCGCAGCCATGCCCTGCAAGGCGCTCGCCGTCTGCCTCTTGGGGCTCTTGGCGCTCTCCTCCGCTTGCTACATCCAGAACTGCCCCATCGGGGGCAAACGCGCCGTCCTGGATATGGATATCAGGAAGGTAAGTCAAGTCCCATCCTTCCCTTTTCCCAACGTATCCATGATGCTGGAAGGTGGTGGGAATAAGACCAAGGGGAAGGCTCAAGTGCGGCGCACTGACTGGAGGTGCTTCCCGGTTGACTCTCCCCTACGGCTGCTCCGGAGCAGTGCCTGCCCTGCGGCCCCAGGAACAAGGGCCGCTGCTTCGGACCCAACATCTGCTGCGGCGAGGAGCTGGGCTGTTACCTGGGCACGTCGGAAACGCTGCGGTGCCAGGAGGAATCCTTCCTGCCCACCCCCTGCGAGGCCGGACACAAACCCTGCGGCAGCAGCGGAGGGACCTGCGCGGCCCCCGGCATCTGCTGCGGCACCGGTGGGTCCCAGCCCCGCCACGGGGAAGTGGGGATGGCAAAGAGGGAGCGGGGGAAGCGTCCCGAGGGATCTGCTTTGTCCTGTCCACCTGGTGAGGGAGCTGGGGGGTTCAGTGTGGAGAAGAGAAGGCTGGGGGGGGACCTGATGGCTCCCTACAAGTGCCTGACAGGAGGATGGAGCCAGGAGGGGCTGGGCTCTGCTCCCAAGGAACAAGGGATGGGACAAGAGGAACCGGCCTCAAGCTGCCCCAGGGCAGGTTTAGATGGAGCTGAGGAACAATTCCTGCCCCAGAGGGTGCTCAGGCATTGGAACAGGCTGCCCAGGGCAGGGCTGCAGTCACCGTCCCTGCAAGCGTTCACACAGCGTGGAGACGAGGCCTCAGTGCCATGGGGCAGTGGTGGCCTTGGCAGCTCTGGGGCACGGTTGGACTGGGTGAGCTGAAAGGGCTTTCCCAACCGAGCTGGTTCCATGACCTGTCCATCCACCCAGGGCAGGATCGATCCCAACACCAGGGAGGGTGATAACAGACCTTGAGGTTTCAGGGACAGAAGCAAGCAGCAGAGCTCCTGTGGTGCACAGCAGTCCATGCCCCCTCCTGCTTCCATCACGCTTTTCCAGCCTCCTCCCTAGACACTACCAGAGATCCCACCACAGATCCTGGGGAGCTTCAGGACACGGGCTTGTTACTCGACTCCATGCAATTACAATCCACACCGGGGGGGCTCTGGGGGCTGGCTCCTGCTGTCTCACTCCATCCCCTTTCCCCCCCCATGCAGAGGGCTGCCTGGTTGACTCATCCTGCGACCAAGAGACGCTGTTTGCATAGAGCACCCCGGGGAGAAGAATCCCTGCAGGATCCCTTATCCATCACTGCAGCAGCAGGGAACAGACGAGGCAAGTCTGTGACTCAGGCTGGAGTGAGGCTCTTCATTGGAAATAAAGCTTGTACAGAAAAACAATCACAAGGGACTGTGGGGTTTATGGGATGAAAGGGGTCGGGTGCAGGCTCGGGAGGGTGGGATGGAGGGGAAAAGGTGGGTTTAAGGAAGAGATGGGACCTGGACAGGCTGGAGAGGGGGGATTGTGTGAACCTCAACAAGTGCAAGGTCCTGCCCATGGCGCAGTTCAATCACAAGGAGCAAACACAGCCTGGGGAAGATTGGGAAGAGCAGCCCTAAGAATGACTTGAGGGTATTGGCTGACCTCATGGAGCAGGTCCAGAGGAGGCCATGGAGATGCTGCGAGGGCTGGAGCAGCTCTGCTCTGGAGCCAGGCTGAGAGAGCTGGGCTGGGGCAGCCTGGACAAGAGAAGGCTCCTGAAGGGGAGACCTGAGAGCAGCTCCAGTGCCTGAAGGGGCTGCAGGAAAGCTGGAGAGGGGCTTGGGACAAGGGATGTAGGGACAGGCCAAGGGGAATGGCTTGAACCTGCCCGAGGGGAGACTGAGATGAGCTCTTAGGCAGAAGCAGCTCCAGGTGCTGAGTAAAATAAGGCTGAAGGAAGAGACACACGAATGCCAGTATCAGAAGTGATTCTGCACATGCTCTCATTTAGCCACAGCCCAGATGTGCTTTAAACCCTCCTTTGCACAAACAGGACCAACAGGTCCCTCGGCCACAGCAGGAACCAGCAGCACAATGAATTCTTACCCCCCAACAACATAAAGGGCAGGGTTGGTGTTTCCTACTAAGCCACTCAGACCTGTTTTCCTTCATAAGCACCTAGAGGGGTCGAGAAACAGCCCCAGGGAGCGCAGAGCCAGGATGCGCCTTGGGATCGTTCCTGTTTTCCACCCCCTACACGTTTGGTGTGAAACAGGAGGGATGCTGTGGGAGGTGCAATCCCAGAGGCAGAGCAGGAGGCACACGAACCCCAGCAGCTCCGCAGGCAGCGGGGCTGAGGCTCGCTTGTTGTGAGCCCAACTTTCTCCCTCACCCTCCTTCCCGCAGGCATCATCCCTTCCGAAGAAGCAGAGCCAGAGCCACAGGGGTGCTCTCCACCACTTCCAGGTGGATTTATCCGTTCGAAGGGAAGGAACTGGCTCCTAAGTGGAGCTGTTAGGACAACACCGTCCGCTTGACAATCCGCCCTTCCTTGTCGACGGCAAAGTTGTAGTTGCGGGGATTGTCCAGGCATTCCTCGATCCGGGCATCCAGGTTCTCCAGGGTGACGAAGGTTTTGGCTTCTTCCTAAAGGAAGGACAAGGAGCAGCTCCTAACACATGGCCGAGGCACCACAGGAGCTGCTGGTGCTCTGAGAGGCCCTGTGGTGCCTCCAGGATCTCAGCAGGAGCCGCATCCAAGAGGAGGAAACCGTTATTTCCTCCTTTGGGATGAATCCATCCTGTTTTCAGAGCTCTCACTCAGCCCCCATCCCATCCACACGCTGTCAACGCTCCTGGAAGGTGCCAACACACGAATCCCTAAGGGAATAAAGCCTCCAGCTTCCAGGAGCTGCCAGCAAACCCCACGCAGGCAGAGTCGTGCTGCTCTCACCTGGAGCCGGAGAACTTCCTTCTCCCTCTCCTTCAGGAAAGCTTCCCTTTTCCTGGCTTGGGTTTCAGCAGCCTTCAGCTTCTGCCTCCTCTCCTCTTCCTCTTCTTTCCTAAGTCTTTCCTCCCTGCCATGGGGAAAGGAAGAGGAAACAAGATGATTGATCACGCTCTGCGGGGTGGCGTGCTGCTGAGACACATAATCCCTTGGGATGAAAAGCAGAGCCAGAACAAAGGGGAAGGAGCAGCACAGCCGGGATGGGAGAGCCTGGGCTGAACTCAGCATGGGGATGGAGAGAATCCCATCCTTCTCTGCACGGGAAAACAGGGGGAAATCTTAATGGAAAAGCTCTCAAAGAGACTGGCAATGCCACGAGCGCTGCAGACCTGAGCCCCAGCAGGGTCTGGCTCCATTTGGGAGCTCCAATGGGATTCTTCCAGCAGGACGTGGCAGCTCGAGTGCTTTGGCCATGGGGCTGGGCCTGATGGGCTTTTCCCTGTTTTCCAGGTTCAGCAGATGCCGAGTTCCTTGGGAGCACGGACACAATTCCAGGGTATCCCGAGGCTGACCAGAGGATGGCGAGGGAGGGAAGGTGGAGAAACCTCCTCCTGCTGACAGTGACCTCCGCAGGGGAGCAGGAGGTGTCCGGATAGGTAATAAAGGACAAAGCTTGGAACACAGAATCCCAGCCTGGTTTGGGTTGAAGGGACCTTAAAGCTCATCCCAGCTCCAACCCCTGCAACAGGCAGGGACCCCTTCCACTGGAGCAGCTTGCTCCAAGCCCCTGTGTCCAACCTGGCCTTGAACACTGCCAGGGATGGGGCAGCCACAGCTTCTCTGGGCACCCTCACACCAAAAGGGTCAAAGATTGAAGTGTCTTTGTAGAAACGAAGCTGCCTCTCCTTAAACTGAATTCAGTTCAGAAGCTGAAGCCGCAAGGGGCAGGAAGCCCGCACAGGTAAGGAGTCTGCTTTAAAACAAGAGGAACCGGCCTCAAGCTGCCCCAGGGCTGGTGTAGATGGAGCTGAGGACCAATTCCTGCCCCAGAGGGTGCTCAGGCATTGGAACAGGCTGCCCAGGGCAGGGCTGCAGTCACGTCCCTGCCGCTGCTCGCACACCCCCGGCACCACGGGGCAGCGGTGCCCTGGGCTGGGTGAGTTTAAGGGTCCCTGCCAGCCCGGTCCATTCCGCGCCTCCCCGGGGCTGACCTGCGCGCCCGCTGCCGCGCGTTCTCCTCCTGGTTCCAGGCCATGAGGCGCTGGTGCTCCTGCAGCAGCCGGGCCGAGTCCTCGTGGCTGAGCAGGGCCGCCCGCTTCTTCTGCAGCACCTCGGCCTTGAACTCGGCCCTGCCGGGACAAGCACAGGGGAGGCTGCTCAGCTCCTGCCTCGCACCGAGTACCGGGGGGGGTCCTAAACCTGCCCCATAGCCAGCCCAGCCCCAATCCTGCCCCACTGTGACCTAGGGGGTCCAAACACCTCGACTGCAAAGGGGATCCGGAGACCCCAACCCTCCCCTGCCCCACAGCAGCCCCATGCATTGACATCCAGCCCCACATCCAGACCCGTACCCACAGTCGCTGATGGTCTCCAACCCTTCTGTGCCCCACTGCAGCCCCACTGACAAGTCCCTTGTTCCACAGCAGCCCCACACACACAGTCATTGACAGCCCCCAACCCTCCCCTGCCCCACATCCCAAACCACTGCCACCCCCAAACCCCAGCGCTCCCCTGCCCCACAGCCAGAGCCACTGCCAGCCCCATAACCCTCCTGTGCCCCATTGCAGCCCCACTGCCATGTCCCCAGCGCTCCTCTGCCCCACAGCAGCCCCACAGATTGACACAGCAGCCCAACATGGCCACAAGCCCAATGCCTCTCTGCTTCACAGGTGCCCCACAGCCAGCCCCCAAACCCTCCCCGTGCCCCTTTGCAGCCCCACTGCCAAGTCCCCAGCGCTCCCCTGCCCCACAGCAGCCCCACAGATTGACACCCAACTCCACATCACAGCAGCCCAACATGGCCACAAGCCCAATGCTTCTCTGCTTCACAGGTGCCCCACTGCCAGCCCCCAAACCCTCCCTGTGCCCCTTTGCAGCCCCACTGACAAGTCCCTTGTTCCACAGCAGCCCCACACACACAGTCATTGACAGCCCCCAACCCTCCCCTGCCCCACATCCCAAACCACTGCCACCCCCAAACCCCAGCGCTCCCCTGCCCCACAGCCAGAGCCACTGCCAGCCCCATAACCCTCCTGGGCCCCACTGCAGCCCCACTGACAAGTCCCTTGTTCCACAGCAGCCCCACAGCCGGCGCCATACTCACAGTCATTGACAGCCCCCAACCCTCCCCTGCCCCACAGCAGCCCCATACATTGACACCCAACCCCACATCCAGCCCCATACCCAGTCATTGACAGCCCCCAACCCTCCCCTGCTCCACATCCCAAACCGCTGCCACCCCCAAACCCCAGCGCTCCCCTGCCCGACTGCCAGACCCATAACCCTCCTGTGCCCCACTGGCAACCCCGGACCCTCCCTGCCCCACAGCGGCCCCATACATTGACACCCAACCCCACATCCAGCCCCATACCCACACTCACTGACAGCCCCCAACCCTCCCCTGCCCCACATCCCAAACCACTGCCACCCCCAAACCCCAGCGCTCCCCTGCCCCACTGCCATGTCCCCAGCGCTCCCCTGCCCCACTGCCAGCCCCGGACCCTCCCCTGCCCCACAGCGGCCCGCTGCCGGGGCGGTACCGGAGCGCTCCGAGCACCAGGCGGTGCTGCCGGTACCGCTCGGTGATCACCACCAGCTCCTCGGGGTCCACGGCCGGCGGCACCTTCACCCGCGACGCCTTGGACTTGGCGGGGGGGTCCTGCCGCGTCTTGCGGCCCCGGAACGGGACGAGCCGCGGGCCCCAGCACGGACCCGAACCGGAACCGGGACCGGAACCGGGACCGGGGCCTGGGCCCGGGCCCCACCGGCACCGCCTCAGCGCCCGCAGCATGGCGGGCCGCGCGGCGGATGTGACGTCACCGACGTGCTCTCCGCGGGGCATTATGGGAAGGGGAGCGTGCTGCGGGGCATCATGGGAAATGTAGTCCCGAGGGGGTATAGGGATCCCATGGGGCCCGCTGGGGTGCGGACACCGCTTCCTATGGGACGCGGTATCCTATGGGACGCTGTATCCTATGGGACGCGGTATCCTATGGGACGCGGTATCCTATGGGACATGGTATCCTATGGGACGTGGTATCCTATGTGACACAGTATCCTATGGGATGCGGTATCCTATGGGACGCTGTATCCTATGGGACGCGGTATCCTATGGGACACGGTATCCTATGGGACGCGGTATCCTATGGGACATGGTATCCTATGGGACACGGTATCCTATGGGATGCGGTATCCTATGGGACATGGTATCCTATGGGATGCGGTATCCTATGGGATGCAGTATCCTATGGGACATGGTATCCTATGGGACACAGTATCCTATGGGATGCCGTATCCTATGGGACGTGGGGTGCGGGATGAACGCCACAACACTGTGGGATACAGAACACAGCGGGATACGGAGCCATCCCAATGGAACAGGGGCCACCTACCTGCGGGACAGGGAATCCCACCCCTATGGAACAGCCCTAAACACACACCCCGAGGGATGTAACCCAGCCCAAAGGGACAGCGCCCCCATGGAACACAGCCGTTCCCGTCGGGACACGGCACGGCCCCCCCCCCCCCCCCCACTACACGGTGTTCCCCATGGGACACGGGATATGGAACCCCTGGATGCGGGACATGGGATAAGGGACATGGAGCCCCGCAGGGCATGGGATACAGAACGTGGAAACCCTGGGACACGGGATACGGGACATGGAACACTCGGGATGCGGGACATGGGACACGGGGCATGGAACCCCTAGGATGTGGGACACGGGATACGGGACACAGAGCCCCGGGGATGCAGGATATGGGATACAGGACATGGAACCGCCGGGGTGTGGGACACGGGATACGGGACATGGAGCCCCACAGGGCATGGGATACAGAACATGGAAACCCTGGGACACGGGATACGGGACACGGAACCCTCGGGATGTGGGACATGGGGTACAGGACATGGAACCCCTGGGATGTGGGACACGGGATACGGGACATGGAACCCTCGGGATGCAGGACATGGGATAAGGGGCATGGAACCCCGCAGGGCATGGGATACAAAACATGGAAACCCTGGGACATGGGATATGGGACATGGAACCCTCGGGATGTGGGACATGGGATATGGGACGTGGAACCCTCGGGATGTGGGACATGGGATGCGGGACATGGAACCCCCAGGATGCAGGACACGGGATACGGGACATGGAACCCTCGGGATGAGGGACACAGGATGGAGGACATGGAACCCTCGGGATGCGGGACACGGGATATGGGACATGGAACCCTCGGGATGCGGGACATGGGGTACGGGACATGGAACCCCTGGGATGAGGGACACGGGATACAGGACACGGAGCCCCGCGGGGCATGGGATACAGAACATGGAAACCCCGGGACACGGGATACGGGACACGCAACTTGGAACTCCACAGGACACAGCTTCCCTGGGACATGGAACCCCGGGATACACCATATGGAGCCCTCGGGACACTGGATATGGAACCCCCTAGGATATGGGACATGGAACCCATGAGGGGCCCCTGGACACGGCTCCCCCGGGATACGGGGCATGGAAACCCCTGGGACACGGGATATGGGACACGGAACCCCCCGGGATAGGGACCCGGGACGCCCCCCCCGTGCGCGCACACAAACAGCGCCGAGCCCCCGCTCCGCCGCACCACTCGCTCCGGTCTCCCCGCTCCCCTTTATTGCCGCTCGCTCCCGGGGCTCGGCCGCTGCCGCTCCCCGCTCCCCGCTCCCCGCTCAGCGCTCCCGGCCCCGCAGCCCCGCGCCCTGCGGAGGAACCGCCCGTTGGTGGGGCCGGGGCTGGTCACGGAGCAGAGACCCCCAGCCCCGTCCCGGTCCCCATCCCCATCCTCTCATCCCCATCCCCATCCCTGTCCCCATCCCGGTCCCCATCCCGGTTCCCATCTGCATCCCCATCCCGGTCCCCATCCCCATCCCTATTCCCATCCCCATCCCACTCCCCACCCTCATCCCTATCCTGGTCCCTATTCCCATCCCCATTCCCATCCCCATTCCAATCCCCATTCCAATCCCCATCCCTGTCCCGGTCCTCATCCCCCTCCCCATTCCCGTCCCCATCCCACTCCCCATCCCCATCCCCATCTCGCTCCCCATCCCCATCCCCAATTCCATCCCCATCCTGGTCCACATCCCCATCCCCGTCCCGATTCCCATCCCACTCCCCATCCCCGTCCCCATCCCACTCCCCATCCCCATCCCCATCCCGCTCCCCATCCCCATCCCCAATTCTATCCCCATCCGGGTCCACATCCCCATCCCCGTCCCGATTCCCATCCCCATCCCCGTCCCCATCCCACTCCCCATCCCCATCCCGCTCTGCATCCCCATCCCCATCAGTTCTATCCCCATCCTGGTCCACATCCCCATCCCCATCCCCATCCACAGTCCTATCCCCATCCTGGTCCACATCCCCATCCCCATTCCCGTCCCCATCCCACTCCCCATCCCTATCCCCAGTTCTATCCCCATCCTGGTCCACATCCCAATCCCCATCCCTCTCCCCATCCTGCTCCCCATCCCCAACCCTATCCCCATCCCTGTCCCCATCCCCATCCCCATCCTGCTCCCCAACCCTATCCCCATCCCCATCCCAATCCCCGTCCACATCCCGGTCCCCATCCTCATCCCCACCCCCATCCCCATCCGCGTCCACATCCCGGTCCCCATCCCCATCCCCATCCCCATCCCAATCCCCATCCCCATCCTCATCCCTGTCCCCATCCCCATCCCCATCCTGCTCCCCATCCCCATCCCCATCCCCATCCCGGTCCCCATCCCCATCCCGGTCCCCATCCCCACCCCCATCCCCATCCCTGTCCCCATCCCCATCCCCATCCCCACCCCCATCCCCATCCTGCTCCCCATCCCCATCCCCATCCCCATCCCAATCCCCATCCCAATCCCCACCCCCGTCCCCGTCCCCATCCCCATCCCAATCCCCATCCCAATCCCCACCCCCGTCCCCGTCCCCATCCCCATCCCCATCCCCATCCCCATCCCCATCCCCATCCCGTTCCCCCCCCAGACCCGCTCACCAGCAGCTCCTCCTCCCTCCGCGGCGAGCACCGGGGGGGGCGGCACCGCCAGAGCGGGGCTGAGACCTGCGGGAGAACGGACACGGGGGGGGGATGATCCATGGGGAATCCCGAGGGAATCCGGGGTTTAATCCCGGGGGTAACCCCAGGGGCGTCAATCCAGGGGCTCATCCTTGGGGAATCTGTAGGGTTTAATCCCATGTGGTTAATCGGTTACCCCAGGGTGTTAGCCAAAGGGGGGGTAAACCGGGGGGGTTGATTCCATGGGGTTAATCCAGTGGGTGTTAATACGGGGAGGATCCCGGCAGGGTAATCCCATGGGATTCATCCAGGAGGTTCATGCAGGGGGGTATTCAGGGGGAGGGTAACACAAGGGGTGTAATGGGGGGGGGCTATAATAAATCTGAGTGGGGTAATCATGGGGAGAGGGATAATCCATGCGGGGTAATCCATAGGGGATTGTTTAGGGAAGTGTAACCTGAGGGGGATAATGGGGATTGGGGGGCGGGGGGCAGATAACCACAGGGATTAATCCTGGGAGAGGGATAACATGGAGGGATTATAACACCGGGATGGGGGGGATGATCCCGTTGTGTGGGGCACAAACCCGGGGTAAACCAACCTGGGGGGGTCACCCCATTGCGGTGCCTACCTGCAGGGCCAGGGGGGGCGCCAGGTCCCGTTTGCCCCCCGGGTACCAGCCATGGGACCAGTGCTGGGCAGGGCAGGGGGGCACAGCACAGGCCAGCAGCAGCAGGGCCAGCAGCAGCAGGGATCCATGGGGTGCCATGGCCGGAGGGGCTGTGGGGACAAGGGGGGACTTGTCCCATCGGCACCCACACCGGGGCACCCCTGGGGGCTGCTGGGGGGGGGTTGAAGGTGGAGAAGGGGAGGAGCACCCATAGGTGCTGATTGGGGTGGTTTGGGGATGGAGGTGAAGCGGGTATGAGCACCCATGGGTGCTGATTGGGGTGGTTTGGGGATGGAGGTGCAGCGGGTATGAGCACCCATGGGTGCTGCTTGGGGTGGTTTGGGGATGGAGGTAAAGCGGGTATGAGCACCCATGGGTGCTGATTGGGGTGGTTTGGGGATGGAGGTGCAGCGGGTACGAGCACCCATGGGGGCTGCTTGGGGTGGTTTGGGGATGGAGGTGCAGCGGGTATGAGCACCCATGGGTGCTGATTGGGGTGGTTTGGGGATTGAGGTAAAGCGGGTATGAGCACCCATGGGTGCTGATTGGGGTGGTTTGGGGATGGAGGTGCAGCGGGTACGAGCACCCATGGGGGCTGCTTGGGGTGGTTTGGGGATGGAGGTGCAGCGGGTACGAGCACCCATGGGTGCTGCTTGGGGTGGTTTGGGGATGGAGGTGCAGCGGGTATGAGCACCCATGGGTGCTGATTGGGGTGGTTTGGGGATGGAGGTGCAGGGGGTACGAGCACCCATGGGTGCTGATTGGGGTGGTTTGGGGAGGGAGGTGCAGGGGGTACGAGCACCCATGGGTGCTGATTGGGGTGGTTTGGGGATGGAGGTGCAGGGGGTACGAGCACCCATGGGTGCTGATTGGGGTGGTTTGGGAATGGAGGTGCAGCGGGTATGAGCACCCATGGGTGCTGATTGGGGTGATTTGGGGATGGAGGTGCAGGGGGTACGAGCACCCATGGGTGCTGATTGGGGTGGTTTGGGGATGGAGGTGCAGGGGGTACGAGCACCCATGGGTGCTGATTGGGGTGGTTTGGGGGTGGAGGTGCAGCGGGTACGAGCACCCATGGGTGCTGCTTGGGGTGGTTTGGGGATGGAGGTGCAGCGGGTACGAGCACCCATGGGCGCTGATTGGGGTGG